TGGGCTACCAAGTGAGCTCCAGGAAAGGCGCAAAGCTACACAGAGAAACCCTGTCTCGAAAAACCAAAAAAAAAAAAAAAAAAAAAAAAAAATTATTTAATTTTATTTTATGTGCACTGGTGTTTTGTCTGCATGTATATCTATGTGAGGGTGTTAGATCTTGGAGTTACAGACTGTTAGCTGCCATGTGAGTGCTGGGAATTGAACCTGGGTCCTCTGGGTTCAAAAAGTCAATGCTCCTAACCACCGAGCCATCTCTCCAGTACCCTAATTCACTTTTTTGTGGTGCTTGCTGCACATTGAACCCCGGCCTTTGTGTGTGCTGGGTATGTACCCTGCCCCTGAGTAGCACCCCAGACCTTGGCTATAGCTTTTTGTTGTGTTTTGTGGGGGGTTTTATGTAGCCTAGACTGTCCTGGAGTCCAGCTTGAGCTTCTGACCCTACTTCTGCCAGGCTTTGGTCTTCTGAGGCGGTGTCTTGGCTCCAGAGCTAGGGCTGGCCTTGGTTGACTAGACATCTTCCTGTCTCTTTCCCCAGAGTAATTACGGACATGAGTCGCCACACCCAGCTCCAAATTTGCACTTTCAACAAACTCTGGGTGATTTCATTTAACATTAAAGTGTGAGAATGTTCCTTGATTTTTTTTTTTTTAATGTCTCTTTTTCTGGAAGATAGTTCTTTTATACTATTCCTGATTTGGGGGAACAGAGTGTGTTAGATAGGGTTACTATGCTAAATATTACTCTTAGAGTTTTCATGTAGCTGAGAGCTACCTGGATGTAAGTTTTCCTCCTCCCTACATCTTACAGATGAAGACACTGAGCCGTAGAGAATGGTTGAAACCCAATTCTGTGCTTCCTCAGCTTGTCTCGCTGCTTGTGAGCTACAGCATTTAGAGCTGTACACTTAACTTTCACCAAGCGGGGTTATTTTTTTGAGGGGGTTATTTTTTTATTAAGATTTTTATTTATATATTATGCATATGGGTGTTTTGGCTGCACACATACGCACCATGTACACACAGTACTCACAGAGGTCAGAAGACGGCACCGGACCCCCTGGACCTGGAATTGTTGTTTACCCTGTGAGTGTCAGATCCTCTGCCAGAGCAGCCAGTGCTCTCAACTGATGAACCATCTCTCCAACCCTAGGCTTGTGTTTTGGGTTAAGGACAGATAGTATTTTCTGTCCTATTTGCAGTCTGCCTGAAAGGATTTTTTTGGAAACATTTTTGTTGCTGTTGTATTTGCCTGAAGTTGCAGAGTTAGGAGATGATTTTGAGAAACACTCTAAGCATACCTCTATTTCTGGCTCCTTAGGATGCTGAGGGAGGAAGACCATTTGAAACTAGCATGGGCAGCATAGCATAGTGAGGCCTTGTTTCTAACAAAACAGCAGCAGCAACAATACAAAAACAAAAACAAAAAACAACCCTAAACCCTTACAGGTATTCTCGCTTTGCTCTGAGAGCCTACCAGGCTAGCTCAAAGTAAGTTGGGAGCAGTTTTTCTTCCTTATGTATTACTTGGTATCCTTCCCATCAAAAAGATATCCTTGTTGATAGGTCATTTATTTCTACATCTGCTGATGTGTCTTACTCTTTGGACTGCCTTAGAATAAGCATAAACTCCAGAGAGTTCTCCGCACAAGACCCTTTGCTAATGAGGGGGAGAAGTTGCATGTGACTTCCTGTGTTCATGTCTAAGACTTCAGCACAAGCAAGGGTTAGTGTTCGAAGTCTTTTGTCTAATGCTAGCCTCGCTTTTTTCTTTTCTTTTCCTTTTTTTGTTTGTTTGTTTTTCGAGACAAGGTTTCTCTGTGTAGTTTTGGTTCCTGTCCTGAATCTTGCTTTGTAGCCCAGGCTGGCCTTGAACTCACAGAGATCTGCTTGGCTCTGCCTCCTGAGTGAGGGGATTAAAGGCGGTGGCCACCACCGCCCGGCTAGCCTCGTTCTTTCTATGGAGGCTTAGGTCACACATGCTGTTTACAGCTCTGGCCTCACTTAGGGACCGTGTGCTTCTATTAATAGCCATGTATTTTTCTTCCTCTACCTCGTGTGCTTGCTACTGAACAACTGCTGTCCAATGGGCAGTAAGGAACGTTGAAAACAGCTGCTTCTGAATGCCCCCCAGAAGTACTTGCATTTTCCTTGTCTCTTGTATTTTAATTATTACCTTTATTTTATGAGTATGGATGTTTTGCCTGCATTTATGTCTGTGCACCAAGTAAGTGGTGCCTGAGGAGGTCAGAAGAGGGCGTCAGACCCCCTGGAACTGGAGTTACTGGTGGCTGTGAGGCACCCTGTGGGTGTTGGGAAAGAAAACTGGGTCCTCTGGAAGAGTAGCTGTGCTCTTAACCGCTGAGCCCTCCCCCCAGCGCCTCCTGTTTGTCTTTTGAGAAGGTCTCAATGTCGCCTGTGGTAGCCTCCTAACTCCTTCCTTCCCTCTTCTGTCAGTGCTGGGAATTGAACCCAAGGCCTCCTGCAAGCTTTGCAAAGACTCCAATTCAACTACATGCTAGACTCACTAAACATGCTCCAACGGGCTTTATGCTATAAAGTATTTTGAATAAAATCACTTGACGTTTTCAGTTTATTCTGGGCGTGAAAGTAATTTCCATGCTTATAATACCATGAAGAACCATGTTGAGTTACACTCTGAAGAATTATAGCACCTGGTTTAATTATAAGATGTGCCCTAGCAGGGTGTGGTGGCACATCTTCAATCTCAGCACTTAGGTGACAGAGAAAGGCACATCTCCAAGTCTGAGACCAACTTCATCTACACAGTGAGTTCCAGCCCAAGCGAAGTCACATAGTTAAGGCTGGAAAAAAAATAGTAGGGCTGGAAAGATGGCTCAGTGGTTCAGCAGTTAAGAGCACTGGCTGTTCTTCCAGAGGTCCTGAGTTCAATTCCCAGCAACCACATGGTGGCTCATAATCATCTGTAATGAGATCTGGTGTCCTCTTTTTTTTTTTGTTTTTGTTTTTGTTTTTGAGACAGGGTTTCTTTGTGTAACTTTAGAGCCTCTCCTAGAACTCGCTCTGTAGACCAGACTGGCCTCGAACTCAGAAAATCTGCCTGGCTCTGCCTCCCAAGTGCTGGGATTAAAGGTGTGTGCCACCACTGCCCGGCTCTGGTGTCCTCTTATGGCAGGGCACACATGCAGGCAGAATACCGTATACATAATAAATACATCTTTTAAAGTAATAGTAAATTAAATAAATATATACCAACCATAGTTAAAACACTTTAATGACTCAAAATGAAGTTAATTGTTAATTGTAATTCAGCAAATCTAGGCAGTATGCATATACTGGGATGTGCCTAGAAAATCTATGTGAAAGTTTGTGTTAGAGCTGCCTCTGAAGAGAAGTCTTGACTTTCGATTTGTTTTTTTTCCTAGAGTAACAGGATGAGGTATTTGAAATTTTTAAAATTTGAAATATGTATTATTTTAAAATAATCAACTCTGAAAACATGCATATTTTTTTAAATCAACATTCAATTGTATAGTGGAGTTTATACACACATATTTAATATTTTTAACGGCAGTGCTTTTATTTTGGAGAAAGTTTCCCCCTGTGGCTTATTTTCATAGTGGATTTTCATTTCCCCTTTTGCTTTTTTTTTTTTTTTTTTTTAATTGTGGTCAAAACACAGATGTGTCAGCTTTGTGCAAGGGCGGAGCGGAGCGCGTTCCGCTCGCCTGCGCTTGCTAACAGCATGGCTCGGGCAGAGCTGCTGGACTTCACACCTAATGGTGCTTCTCATAGGGTGTGGGTGCAGCAAGCATCTTCATGGCGTACGTACACACGCTCCGGAACTCCAGAGGTCAGTGCTTGGGGGGCTGGGTGTGTGTGTGTGTGTGTGTGTGTGTGTGTGTGTGTGTGTGTGCCTTTTGTCTTACATGACATCTGGGTTTTTGTTTGGTGGGTTGATTTGGTTCATTTGTTTTACACGGGGGTCTCCCTGTGTAGCCCTGGCTAGCTTGAAACTCACTCTGTAGACCAGGCTGTCCTCAAACTCACAGAGATCTGTCAGTATCTGCCCCCTCCACTCTCAGCTGTCATTATATTTGATAGCGGTCATTAATTCTAACACTGCTATTGAAAGCTACTTTATTAGCCTTTGTATGTAACATGTCCACTGTAATTACACATGTCTGGTGTGGAATATTTTTTTCTTTTCTTTTTTATTGAGACAGAATTTGTCTGTGTAGCCCTGGCTGTCCTGGGACTCACTCTGTAGACCAGGCTAGCCTCAAACTCACAGAGATCGACCTGACTCTCCCTCCCAAGTGCTGGGATTAAAGGGGTGCAATACCACCGCCCAGCTAGTGTGGATTTTTTTAAAAGATCTGCTGAAATTTTTTCTTTGAAATGTGACTGTTCTATCCCCACTTCCTCTCGACGTGTGTGTGTGTGTGTGTGTGTGTGTGTGTGTGTGTGTGTGTGTGTGTGTGTGTGTTGCTGAGGACTGGACCTAAGGCTTTGTACACTTTGTACACAGTCGGCAAGTCTGCACTATAGCTTTACCCTGGCCCCCAGAGTAGTAAATACCCCTGAGAAGAAATTTTAGGAACTATTTCCAGAATTTGAAACTTTAATTATACTGAATATAAATGAATAGTTAATTTCTTTTTTTAAAGATTTATTTATTTATTATGTATACAGTGTTCTGCCTACATATATACTTGCAGGTCAGAAGAGGGCACCAGATCTCATTACAGATGGTTGAGAGCCACCATGTGGTTCCTGGGAATTGAACTCAGGACCTCTGGGAGAGCAGCCAGTGCTCTTAACCGCTGAGCCATCTTGCCAGCCCCTGAATAGTTAATTTCATTGAACCATTTATTTGGCCATGTATGGTAAAATCTTCCCCTGTACCTTGACCAGGTAGAGAGACTCTTGGAGAATGTACATGAGTAATGTATAGCTGAGAAAAGACGAAACCAGTGGGGCTGCCGGGTAGGTAGTCCTCTTTCTCCCTCCTGTGCAGAAGGGTGATGTCCGTGGTCCCAGGAGAGTGTGCTAGTGTGAGGCTGCTTACAGCCGAGGGTGCCAAGAGAATGTCCTAGTGTAAGGAGGCTTACAGCCGAGGGTCCCAGGAGAGTGTGCTAGTGTGAGGCGGCTTACAGCTAAGGGTTGAAGACACCTTCCATGGAGTTGGCCCTGGCCATTTCCAGTTTATAAAGGATCCCTAAAAATTCTCACTTGAGCCTTACACACTCCTTTAAAGTGAATAGTTTCAGTTATCAGTCCTGCTTTATCAATAAACCGAAGGCACAGAGATTAAGTGGTTTATCCCTCCCAGGAATGCTAATAACTTGAGTCCTTAAGACATTTTGTGTGCTAATCCCTTAATGATCTGGTAAGTTGTCTAAAGGGAATCCTGGAATGAGTCCGTTATAGGGAAGGATTAAAAGTCATTTAGAAAAGGCATGCCGGGCGGTGGTGGCACACATTGAATCCCAGCAGAGGCAGGCAGATTTCTGAGAGTTCTAGGCCAGCCTGGTCTACAGAGCCAGTTCCAGAACAGCCGGGGCTACACAGAGAAACCCTGTCTTGACATGTTGAAAATCCAGAATGTTTGTGTTCCTCAGAAAGTGTATTTGAAACCTTGCCTGGCAACATGATAATGTTAGGATGAAGGAACCGGGTGTGGTGGTATACAACTGGAATCCCACAATTCATTGTGGACGCAGGAGGATCAGCAGCTTGAGCAAGGCTTCCCTGTGTTAACCTTGTCAGTTCAAGGCCAGCCTGAGCTACGTGAGACCCTATCTTAGCACTTCTTTCCCACGCCTGTCCAGACAGGACCTTAGAAGTTGCTGCTTCTGTCTTGTGGACATGGGCACTGTGAAGGAGACTTAGCTTCCGGAGTGTGAGCAATTGTCCTTCATAAGCTCAGGCAATGGTATTTGCTGGAGCAGCTCAGACACACTCAGAGCAAATTGGAAGGAAGCAAGAGCGGCATGCTGCTTCAACAGATACCTGGATGTGAAGCGGCTGTGCTCCTGCCCAATGCATAGAAAGTGGAGTTTTTGAAGTTCACAGTAGTGAGCATATGTGTTCACAAATGCAACCTGTCAAGATGACTTTGGTGAGGGCTGACAAGAAAGCTATTGATAACCCGTATTCTTAGAGAGGACTACTTCCTCCAGGAGTCCTGTGCTCAGCCTGTGCAGCATATGGAAAGGAGTGAGGAGGCTTGGCTGTGTCTGGGAGACTACAGGGTACGGCCAGCCAGACCTTTCTGTTTGTACTGACTGGGCAGTGGGTCTCAAGCTGCCTTGGACAGAGACAAGGATGACGAGGTACCTTTCACCCCAAAAGCACTCTGGAAATTATGAGGCTGTCCCATTAGCAGGCCTCGAGTTCAGAAGGACTACAAGCCTCATGGTGCTCTCGGGCTCCAGAGGGAGCACATGCTCTGTGGAAGCCTTCCTTTCATAGGTAGCAGGAAGTCCTGGTTGGTAGCTGCACACGCCTGCCACGGTTCCCATCTGTAGACCATTCTGCGTCAGGATGAGTCACATACTGAGCAGGCTTTGATTAGATGACATCTATTCATTCAGGAGTCAGCTCATGCATGGCAGGTACTGGACCACTGAACTGCATTCCCAGCCTCATGATACTTAGGTAAGCTTTGGGTTTCAGATTTCTTTATTATTATTATTATTATTATTATTGTTACTATTTTGTTTTTCTAGACAGGGTTTCTCTGTGTAGCCCTGGCTATCCTGGAACTCTGTAGATCTGGTTGGCCTCCAGCTCACAGAGATCCGCCTGCCTCTGTCTCCCGAGTGCTGGGATTAAAGGCGTGCGCCACCACCGCCCGGCTAATATATAGGAGTTTTATTCATGTTATATATGCTGTGTTGGTGTGTGCATGCGTATGCAGGTGCTCACAGAGACCAGAACAGAGTGTCAGATCCTGTGGAAGTAAAGTTTTGGAATACCTGATGTGGGTGTTAGGAACTGGACTTGGGTCCTTTGGAAGAGCAAAATATGTTTAGCTGCTAAGCCGTCTCTCCAGATCTTAGACTTTTTTTTTATTATTACATTTTTGGAAGGGGGCCGGGGGTGAACATGAATGCAGTGATGGCCTTTGTGGAGGTCAGAGGATAATTTGAGAAAGTCTGTTCTCTTCCACTGTGTGGGCGGAGGATCACACTCCGATTTGGCAGTCAGTCTTGGCCGCAGGCACTGTACCCAGTCAGCCATCTGAGACAGGACTTTAGACTTTGGACTCGATACGGGAGTAAGTATTGGGACTATGAGAATAGAAGGAGATACTTTATATTTGAGAAGGACATGCATTTTGTGAATTTTGGGAGTGGGCGGCGTAGAGTGCTGTGGTGTGAATGTGCCTCCTTCCTTCCTTCCTACACTGAAGTTGAATCACAAGTGTAATGGGAGATGGTTAGATGGTTAGATAGTGAGCACAGAGAGCCTCCACAGTGTGGCTGGTTTCCTCGTAACAGAGGCCCAGAGCTTGACCTTTCTTGCCATTCAATAATGCAGTGAGAACCTACCACTGGTGTCCAGAGAGCAGGGCTCTCCAGACACCAAGTCTGCCATTTACCTGACCGCCTTGGACACCTGCACACACCTGGCCTACACACACAAACAACATACACATAAATAAAAAATACGTTTTTAAAAAGGAAAGTAGTAGTAGGGGTCTGTGGGGTGTGTGTGTGTGTGTGTGTGTGTGTGTGTGTGTGTGTGTGTGTGTATGTGTGTGTGTGTGTGTGTGTGTGTAGCTTTTTGCTGAGGTTGGATTGGTGAAGTAATTTGTAATACTCATTTGGGCAGTTATTTGTGTGCTGGGATGAAATTACATTGTGTAATTCAGCTTTTAGAGGTGGGGGCTGCCCGTTGGTTCTTCTGTATCTTCCTGTAAGCTTTTCTGCCTGTTCTTAGGGTCCCTAAGGGTTTATTAGGAAAATTGTTTTTAGGAAAGGAGAAATGAGAGGTCTTGAGGCCCTCTTCTGTGTGCTGTGTGGTTTGGGGCAAGCCACTGAAACTCTCGGGACCTTAGTTCCTTCCTTTCTCTTTATTTTAGTGGTTTTCTCTCTCTCTCTCTCTCTCTCTCTCTCTCTCTCTCTCT